AAGTAACAGATCACTCGACGCCTGTATCTGAGTCGAGAGAGAATAAACAAAAAGCGAAGACATGATTACAAGGCAAACATACTTTGCACTAGCAGCGGTAAAGTGTTGTTGGTGGAATACTTTGATATAATTGCCGTCCTGCGCAAGGAGAGTGTGGGATTCGAGAAGAGCCTTCAAATAGCCTTCGAGATCCTTTGCGTCAAGGTATTGAAGGTGCGCTAAGCAGTGAAATGGCTGTGAAGCCGGATAGTATAACAGGGACAGAAAACTTACTAGACTCTGCCCCGTATATAGTGTCCAGCCCATAGACATGTTTCCTCTCCGAGGTAGACGCCAACACCGAGATACACTCAAATATCAAAGCACGGCCTTGCTTGTCTGTTCGCGCATCCATGAGCACTGCTATGAATGAAGGCAATACCGTCTGAAAGTCGACGGCATTGTCAGAGTTGTGCCCGCGTAAGAACGCTAAAGCATGCAAGAGAGCACGGGTTCGCACGCGCTCCAGGGTTGGAGATTGCGCGAGAAGGACGCCAAGTAAGAACATGAGAGAAGTATCCCTTAGGTTTAGGAAGAGCGCCTGGATGAGATGAGTAGACAACTGCGATGGAGTGGTACTTCCAGAAGCAACAGCGACAGCGTATAGGTTTTGCATGAGAGCAACATAACGGTCCTCAACGCTCTTCTTTTCAGATAGCAAATCACTCTAGTAGGAAAGTGAGCAACTGGTAAACCGTCAGGCTCGAAACGTACCAATGATGAAGTTGTAATCCAAGTAGGCGTACGTGCGTCAGCTAGTCGAATAGCCGGGATCAACGCCAATATGGATGCCTGAAGAAACATCACGGTGATTCTGCCTCCAGGCTTTGTCGTGACTTTCATGCCCAGCGTAGCGTCATTGAGCACCTGTCACATATTCAGCAAATCGAAGACAGAGACGAAAATAGTCATGCCTCCTGCAAGTTCGTGGAGCTATCTGCAAGATCGCCGAAACCGTCAACAGAGTGTAACTTCATGGCGGCCAGAACCTGTAAGGCTATGTCGACCTGCTGTCCACATGAGGTGCTGAGTAGCAAGACGCGGACGACTAGGTAAGCAAGGGCGCGACCGTGCGGGAGGGGGTCATGTAGCTTGAGGAGAATGAGGGAAATATCGCTTGAACTGTCGTTGGAAGCAAGGATGTTCTCTGCAAAAAAAAATAAGCAAATGATGACATTACAAGAAAACAAACACGCACCTGCAATCTTGGCTGCCACATCGAGATTGGCCTGGCTGATTTTTTCCATGTCTACGTCTGCCTCGTCATTCTCCTCATCATTCTTGCGACGTAGAAGGTCAGCCTTTTCCCAAATATCCACACAACCTCTCAACCATCCAGTTGCAGTACCTCCAGCCTCCTTCAGCGCCTTCCATACTCCCCGCGCAGTCCTGAACTTTGATTTGCTGGCAAGCAGGTACGGAAATAGCACGCGTTCTTGTACAGCTTGTGATAAATCCGGGTAGGTCTTGCTGAAATGACCGGCGAGGAAAGCAACATGTGCAATAAGAATAGCGCGAGCTGGTGGGTCCGGACCAATCTGTGAGACGATGGCATCCAGGAGTTTTTGAGGGGTGATGCTTGAAGTAACCGTCGAGAGGAATACTTCAGGTGAAGAGTACAACACGTGGAGAACTCCAGCGTGCGTATCGTAGACGCGAGCAAGCAGAGCTGACTGTATTGAGGCCTTAAAATACTGATGTTAGTAAAAAAAACCAGGAACAACGATGTCGATAGTGTTACCTTATCAGATGCCTCGAGCGTCAACCCCCCTTGCAGAATTTTGTATAGCCGCTCGACAGCCCCAACGCGTGCCTCCTTGGCGGTGCTTGTTGAAGCGACGACAATTTCGTTGACGTCAGTACTTTGAGCCCATGGATGACTCTGAGAAGGTTCTTTATATATGTAGTGACACGCTGAGGAAACTTACCACTGAAAACGAGATCATCAATTCGTCCGCTTTCGTCTTCCGCTCTTTCTTTTTCAATCGCTGATCGTCGCCTTCGTGCTCGCTCTCTTCGTCCTCGATGATTTTACCCACGGCATCACGAAGGATATCAACATGACGTTGATGAACGAGAGACAAGAGAGCACGTGCAGCATTAGTCGTTGAGGTTGCGACAGACTCTTCATCGCTGCTAGTGAGAATTAGTCGTATGAGCGAGGACACCAAGCGCTCAAGCAATCTCAGAGGAGTACCCGTGGCACTAAGAATTGCAGCGTAAAGAGAGGACACAACAGGCTCCTCGAGTCTAAATAATAATAAGTCCTTGTTCTCGATGGTTGAGAAAGCCTGTACATACCGGGGCTTGAGACATTCAAGGAGCGGCAAGATAAACTTTTCAGCTCCAACAAACTGAACTGCACTTCGAAGTTCTTCCGTAAATGTGCTGCGAACACGACTTCAACATCAAAGGGTTGCCATTCCCAAAGTTGACTTACGGAATCTTTAGACATAAATTCCCTGTGTTGGCGTGGAAAGTCTCAAGCTCTTCTTGAGGTGAGCATACTGCAATTGCGACTTTGACAAATTGTTCGCTACATCTGTCGTCCTTCGTATTCCGTTTACCCTTTGGAGCAGCTGAAGTGGCCATTGCTCCGATGATAGCTACTACGGCAGCAGATGACAGCGAAACTTTATGCGAAAGTGTGGAAAGCAGTACGTAACTACCGAGCTAAGGGAAGGCAGCATCGTGTCAGTAATACCAAGGCGTCATAATTCGGAAACTTACAGTTGCGTTGGCATCACTGTGACTAGTCTGAAATGGCGCAAGGAGAGCTGACAACAGAAACGCAAGAATGCCTTCATCCAGAGCCGGCGAAGATGCGATATAGTCGTGCATTGTGGCTGCATTGAAAGCCACAAGTGTACGATGAGAACATGAGCCTAAAAGCGTTATGTTGGTGCTAAAAGTCGATTCGAACAGAGATTCTTACCTCTGATCGCAGTTGGAAGTAACGATGCAATAAATCTTGCTACCGCTTGGTTGGCAGCCATGGCTTTGACAATCGAGCTCCGTGCAAGAGGCGTTACTGTTGATTTAAATGGTAGCAGAAATGAAAAGATGGAAGTAGAACTGGGGACAGATGTCAAAAATGAAACTGGCACGCATGAAGCTCAACGAAACGCACGGTATGTGTAGGATTGAGAGCATCTTGACAAAGTGCGGGGATTCATGATAAGGGAAAAAGAGGGAGAGAACTGCATCGACATTAAATTCATTAATGCTTCAGGGGCGTTGTTAGTTGCAGAAGCTGACAAGATGGTACAAACATACCGAAATCTCCTGACCAGCCATTCTAATACTTTGCTTGTAGGCGCCTCCATGAGCCACGGTCCTAACAGGGACAAGAACGCGTTCAGCGTGTGATCAAGGTTTGCGTTCACTTCCCGTGATTGCATGGTGCGATCGACATTCCTTGCAGCCTCGGAAAATAAAGTCTGGTCAAAGTCCACAGACAGGGAAGACCCATCTAAAGGTAGTTTTGCAGTTCGCGCAGTAAAAGCAGGAGACAATGAGGATAATTGCGCGAAGGCATTGCTAGCAAGTGCATGGATTGAGTCGAGGTCATGAACGTCGGCATCTCGACCAGTAAAAAGGTATGATTCTGTCCGTCTCCGTTTGTTGGTGTGAGAGTCGAGAAGAGATGCATTTAGAGATGCGGATGCGGCCAACTGACTCGCAAGTGCAGACGGCATATTAATACAACGCGTCCAAGTTGCTTTCACTAGGGCCTTACTAGCATCTACTAGTATGAGTGACCACTAACATTTAGATCTTCATTCACAGAAAAAAAATGCTGACGTAACAATCACACCCAAAGGGATCAATAACGGTTCAATGCAAGGGGCGTTGTGGGCAGAAGTCCGCCATTCTGCCAACTGGTTCTGCCAAACCGGTTCTGCCCGGCAGATGGCAGAATTCTGCGGGCAGAATCCGGCAGAATGTCAAACTACAGGGATCACAGTGCAATAGCTTTCTTCACCTTACTTGGCCATAGTAGCCTTTTTCGAACGACTCAGAGCAACTGCACTTCCTTACCTGTAGAGTAGAAGAAATTTTCAATTGTACAACCTGTACTCCTCTGTCGCGCACCATTTTCAGGTGGACACGCTGATGGATTAGCATGGTGGGAGAGTCTTGCAGTCAGTGCTGACGGACATCCTTTGAAGGCACTTGCAATCACCCTCTTATCCATTGTTCCCCATGCTGCTGACGTCGAACGCCTCTTCTCGGATATGGGTAGCACTCAGTCTCCGAAGCGCTGCAATCTCTCAGTAGACACGTTTGAAGCGCTGGCCAAGATTCGAGTAAATCTTCGCTACCACAGTCATCAGAAGGCCGTGGTTAATGGCAAGCCAATTCGTCGACGTCACGCACACATGCACACCAATGCCGAGCCAGGCATCAACATCGATACGGCTACTGACCTAGAAGCCAATTTTGCATGGGCGCCACCACTCGCACCTCAGACTCAGAACATCGATGATGATCTTGTGGGTCCTGATTCCTGAATCCATATCACTCGACGAGATTGACGCTGCATTTGCGCTACTGGAACGCGAGAAAGAAGCCATGGAACGAGAGCTGGTTGACGGAAATGAAGTGCTAGAGGGCCAAGTTTATTTTGCAGAATTGGAGCATGTTGATAGTCTTGTACCGAAATCTGTTGACGACGAGATCATGGTAGTTGATCACACCTCACGCGACAACGGACAGTGGGATGTGGACGCGCTGATGTCTTCTAATGGTGTTTCCTAGTGACACTTAGTATACATTGTCATACACATAGCCTGGTAGCGCTTTGAAAATTTTGCCAAGCGGCAGAAGTGATGGTTTTGCCGCTTCTGCCGGTTATGCCGGCACAATTGCTCGCAAACAATTCTGCCCCCAGCACGCCGCGTTGCCCTATTTCAATATTTGTCTTGAATCATTGTGCTTACATAATCCACACTGTTTGAAGAAGTTCGTAAGCTAGCTTACCTTGAAGTCCCATGTCGTCGTCTAGAACTGGTCTTCCCCCACTTTCTTCGAAAGGTGTCTTCTCAGTCTCATCTTCTTGTGTTATAGATGCGCCTCGCAAAGAAGTGTGGGAAGTTTTGATGGACTGGAAGTCATACAAGGAATGGTAAATGCTGCACACTTGACGATGACCGGTCTAACTCTCCATAACCATCACCTAACTGACTCGGTAATCTAGGAACCCGTTCGTGTAAGCTATGCTGTTCACAACGTTTGCAGTTGATGCAAATAACTTGAAAAGGCGAGACCAACGCATCACAGATGCGCGGAAGAATCACCTGCCCGACGAGACTCCACGTGAAGGGTGTTACCTATATATCCACCCGGTGCACATTCCTCCGTCATATGACAACCCGTGGTTTCCAGGCTCCGCGTTCGAGCGGATTACAGTATTGGATCACGAAAATTATCGTACAGCATGGGTGAACATCGAAATGCCACACTGGTTGCTCACCGCGGAACGGTGGCAGGCGCTCGTAGAAGTTGAGGGAGGCAAAACACGTTATGAGACGGTTGAGGTGTTTGGTGGGCTCCTCGCGTATCTGGTCAGGGCCTTCGTTGGGAATGGATTGAAGAAGGGATTTATAGCCATGGCTGAAGGGCTTAAAAACAGAGCAGAAGAAAGGTACGAGGGGCATGTGAGCACCACTACTAGCTAATTGGAACCGAACCTCTGGGATGGGCTTCGCGGTATCACCGCGGATGCGAAACATGATAGATAACCGCCGGGTCGTGACAGGTAAACAGCATACGACGTCATGTCGGACTATGGATTATAATTAATTATAAGGAGGATGTGACTCCATCCTGATGTATCCCTCGGTCCAAATTTTATGAGACCATATGTGCAAAGCTCGCTTCAGTTGCTGTACAGTACTTATGTAGCTAGACCTTAGTCCAAGCTTACACCCGGATTGAACGGATCCGCCATCGGATGATTCCAAAATGAATCGGATTAATAAATGAAATTGACGCTGACTAATCCGAGACAGCTTGAACCGCTTCTGGAAAATATTCTAGACCACGATTCATGCCGTCATATATAATCAGAGACAACCCTCGTACACAACTTTACTCCCTTTCTAGATTACCATCACTATCTGGACCTACCCACTCTATATTTTTACCATGTCTCAATTATACGATGCAGGATACCCTGTGAACGATCTCCTGCTCGCTTCATCATATCCAGCCACGACCCCTGTTTATTCCCCTCCGTATGATGTTCGCGGGAGACAGCAACATTTCATCGAAACCGCACAGCAGAGGAAAGAACGGATCGAGTTTCTGAAAAAGAGAGAATGGGCTCGTCGTGTTGCTGAGTGGATTCGGGCGACTAGTGCACGGCAGGATGTGGTCAGTTATCATCACTCCAAATATGTCATGAATTATGTCACTAATGCAATTTTCAGATGAACTTTGGCTGCTCAGGTAGGCTTGCAGCATCATCACCCATGCCAGAGAACGGTGATGTTACCCGCTTGACTACCTCTGCGTCATCACTCTCTCTATCATCGAGCGAGGAAGAGCAAGAACCATACGTCATCTATAGTTCATCTCCGTCATCTTCCATGTCGTCCTTATCCGACGACCTGTCTATTTCCTCAGTCCCCACCTCGCACCCGTCTAACAACATTCATCCACTGTCAAGCTCCATGCCTTCTCCCTCCAAGCGCAGCCACCACCGTCGTAGGAGCAGCACCAGTCTTATGACTCCACGTCGCCGACCTTCATTGTCCAGTATTTACGAGGTTCCGGAGGAAGACTGATTCACGTCTGCATGGTTGGATTTATCGGTCGGGAGTGTTCAAGCTAGGATCAAACCGGTTTTGGTCAAAGCAGTGCCACGTATCCCTTCTTGGGGTTTTCGTGGCGTTACGACGATCTTGTTGCCCCCTCCTCCTTTGTCGTTCTCCAACGACGTTCATGACCATTTTGCGGACATGCTGACCGCTCTCTATACCTGTGCAAGCATACCCCTCTTCTCCATCATCATCGAATATGTGGACGTTCAGTTTCTTTGTACATTACGTGAAGATGTATCACATTAGTGTTTCGGTAGTATTTTCCAGCTCAACGTATAAGTGTAAAAATGGAATGTTTCATATGCATGCACACCGATTGATCGATCGATCTTACCCGAAAATTGACGACAATAAATGTGAGATCCAGATGAGTCAATTGTGGAATTGATCCGCTGCCATGAGTACAGCTGTATCTCGAACTCAAGAGTGCCTCAGGATGCATCGAGTATAGATGCTGTTGAGACACGATCTTTATCAAGAGGGCAGTTCTTTTTTTCGCAGCGTGTCTAGGTTACGCATCGGCGTATTAGTACTAATGAATCAATCCGCTACAACAATACGGATGCTATGGCACAAAGTCCGTGAGCGACACGCATTAATACCATCCGGGAGTCTATGTTTTCTTTTCAATTTGCAAGGGCATACGTTTCTTCGGGCACAGACTTCTATAATAAATCCATCTGACTCATGACAAGGCAACGGCTAGTCCCCATCAAGTATCGTCAGAAAGTATAGTGCGGGAGATGCCTATCTAGTTCCTGAATGCGTTGGTGGAATGGCCCAGTGGAGTAGCCACGAGTCTAGGACACCGGAACGTATTGACATCGAAAGGGAAGTCAAGTCTCTGGTTATCTGGTATTTTCGAGAGGGTAGGCGCATAGTAGGCCGCTGAGGTGGAAATCGATATGAGATGATGTATTAAACACGTCATGATAAAAAAGAAAACATGCTGGAGAACGAGAGCGCGAATGCGACGGAGTTAATTCATCCGGTCAAGGACGTGGGCTCTCCCGGGCAGATAAAAACTTTGACTTATTGTTATGACGCGGATAGGATTGTTGCAGAAGTATGTTCGATTCCTAGGGCAAGCCTCATCCGCAATAAATTTGCGGGAAGTATCGAGTGGACCTTCTGCTCCGCGCAATGTGAAGGCGACTTTCATATTGCGTGGAGTCGGGTTGTAATGCTAGTACATACGAGGTCCCTTTATCAACACGATCCCAGGATCCGCAAAGGGTACTAGTCTCCGAGCTCTCTACCACATTTCCAATCGGTTCGGAAACGGCCGAAGGGGTCCCTCGGTGAGTGTGTTAAAGGCTACGAGACCTGTGGTGCGAAGCTTCCTACCTCACTAGCCCTCCCGGTGGGTTACGGTTACCGTATGCAGTTGGCCGATAATCGAATGCGATTGCGGTCGCGAGACGGAACCTTTATTCCCACTGGGCATCTAGGCTCAGTAGTATAATCCAGAAGCACGGTTGGGGTAGCGGTAGCCCCTTGACGAGAACTTTCGCAGGCTCGAAACTCTGCCATCTTCGTCATCCTAGCGTTCTTCTTGCCCTAGCTAACAGACCCTTATCTTAGGAGACGGGTGCCTGCAGTGCTGAACGTGGACTACCTCGCGACGTTCTTCTGAACGCTTTGGCTTGGGCTTCGCAGATGCAAGCCTGTCGCTATGCCTCAAAAAATTCTCTCCGGTCCGAGACTATAGCCGTTATTTGTATCGTAGTGGTGCGTACACACCTAATCCCCGACTCCGCAATTATGAGCATCTTCCATGTCACGTTGCTCCTTTTAGCATTCGATACACCATCACAAGCGAGCACACACCAAATACAGAATACAACGACGGAGCAGGTCAAAAGTTGTCCGGGCCGATAAGGGGGACAAGAATATAGATGTGATAGTCACGCACTGGACGATTAATGCCCCTAACCTCCAATTCTACGGCACGCTTGTCATGAACTGTGTTACAGCTCACACCATTATCTTCATGTACCCTCACGCATTGGTATAGAGAAAAAAAGGGTATTAGTATATCCACATCTCTATCCCGAAGAGCAATCAAATCTCGGAACCATATTGCCATTAATGAAGTACGTGCGGTGGGATTTGATCTGACAACAAGACTGCTCCGCACCGGAGAACATGACTGCGACTGCAGAGCGCACTGTCCACAGACAACGAAGTGCTCTGTCAATGAAGACACATTACGTTGAAGTGGACCTACCTTAGGAAGCAAGCACGAGTATCGTATACAATGATGATATGCCTATCGTCGTATGGTTTCTCGGAGGCCGTGAGTGTGCAATAGCAGGCATGAGGGTTAAATATTTCCCAAAAGAGTATGGATGTCCATGTAGAAGAGAGAATAAAGTAATAAGGTGAGTTCAGTGCGATAAGGAGAGAACGCGGGTCCTGGTTTGCGACGGAACATGTTGAACTCGTCCGCTGTTAACGCGGCAAAAATTACCAAATTTGGCATACTCTCATGGCGTGGAAATTTCCTCCGGACGGCGCAAGGATGAATGCTTATTCGTTACTAATTACCTTGATAATCGCTCTTGATTCAAATTCAAATTCGTCCGTTTATGACGGCTTGCCTCATAACCGGGCTGGGACCGTGGAGGTAACATCAATATCAATATCAACATAAGGCTATTAGGATCATGCTGCACATAGTAAATTCAAGATCTCTGGGACTGTCGGACAGTGTTGGACTCGTAACACCCTGACTGTCTTCACGAAATGGTCCTCGCTTGGTCCCCGCTTGCTATCGGGCTGCATGACTCGAAAGAGCTTCTCTGCTTCTATTTTTGAAGTTGGATTAAAAGAACACATCCAGGCTTTTGTGAGTGGGTCCTCTACACCTATCATGTCCACCGCCAGCATTCGCTCCGCCAACGCTGTTGCTCCTACCGATGCCGAAGGCAAACATGGCCAACGTCAGTCATTAATCAGTGTTCTGTCTGTCCCAGTCCCTGCTGCCAAGCCAAAGCTACCTTTAAGGTGGCAGGTAGTGATGATTGCATTAACGTGCATGTGCACATGTAAGTATCCATCTCCATGAATTTTTCTGAGTAGCTCATGAATTGTGCAAGTCGGAAATCATTGGTCCAACGTACGCACCCATATTTCAAGTTAAACAGATTATTTCCATGCTTACAGGGTCTTATCGTTGCTCTGAAGACAACGATCGAGGAAAAACTGAAGATTAACAATTCCGAATTTGCTACTCTCGTAAGTATTTTGCTCAACATAATCGTGCCAGTAGCAGTCTTGACGTTCTCGGATCGCTAGGTAGCTGTAACGAATCTGGTACGGCCGGTCTTGCTCCGCTAACGTGGAACCGACGTACTCACTCTCGAAAAGGTCAACACATTTCTCTGCATCGCCCTCGGTTTCGTCATCGATAAATTTGGAGGCCCACTCATGTCTGTCATACTTGCCGCATTTCATCTTGCAGGCACCATCGTAGAGGCCGGCGCAACGACAAACGGACTCAATAGTTATCATGTCCTCATGGCGGGCAAGATCATCGCGGCTATCGGTGACGGATCCCTAGATAATGCACAGCACAAAATCTTCACCACATATTTTGCGCCGGGAAAAGGTTTCGGAGTGTCTATAGGTGAGGTACCTCATGATCGTTAGCGATCCTTATATTTCTATTTGACCGTTTTGTCAGGTCTCATATGGTAGGTTCTATGACTACACCTTCACAACTCATGTGCACTTGTACCGTGTAGGTCGATGGCGAATCTGGCTCAATATATCGGTCAGAGCACCGCGAACGTGATGTCCCAAAATCTTGGCTCATATTCATGGCCTCTCTGGATAAGCGCCGTCATAAGCCTCTTCTCTCTTCTCTGTGCTATCTGTATCGTCATCCTTGATAAATTCCTTCGTTCACATTACGAAGTTGTCGATCACTCCAAACGGGTCGACCAGCCAAGTACGGGTAAGGCTAGAACGTTTAATTGGCCAGCTGTGCGCCAGATGCCGTTTACTTTTTGGTTTGTGATTCTTTTTGCGACCTTCGAAAACGCTGGCGTGCAGTCATTTTTGTCAATATCTACGTGAGTGATTGTCTTTCGATAGTGTTATGACTGTTAAATTTTACGCAGGCAATTCGCACAGCAAAGGCTCAAGAAAGGCGCCGTAGTTGGCGGATGGGTGTCGAGTTTTTACCTTCTCCTTCCTGTTGGACTTGTCCCTTTGGAGGGCGTATTTATTGATACATGTGGGCACCGTGTGACTATCCGTGAGCGTCCTCTCATTTGGTAATGCAGAAGCTGATCATAAGGCTAGTATTTCTTTCGGGGTGTATGTTCTTAATCTCAATGTTGCTGTTGAGATTTTCCGAGACAGTGCCGACTTTTGGTGAGTTGGGACAATTCAGGTAGATGTTGTACTGAATCCAATTTAGTTTGCGCATATGTATTCTATGCGTTTGCTCAGGTAGATGCACGAGATCCTCGATTCACTAGTACTCTAACATTATCTTGCAGAGCTTAACACCAGCTCCGCAAGTGGAGATCTTGCGCAGCATTATACCGGATTCTCGCTACTATGCAACGGCGTGAGTTCTCTAGCACATCTTCACTGTTGACCTTCTTGACGTGATTTCTAGCTTTGCCATCAAAAGTATGCTTGGTTCTTCTCCATCTCATCACGCTCACTGTCTCTTCTTGCAGAATCGATCATTCAGGGTTCCATCGTCATCGTCGTGACGGCAGCTGGGAGGCTTCAAGACCTCTCCCCCAACGACTCGCTCGAGAGTGCTGTGACGGTCTGGCTTGTATATGCGTTTGCCTGCGTGCTTGTCTCAGGTGCACTCCTGGGCGCCTGCTATACACCATTCGGGAAGCGGTGTCTTCCCGCCGCGCGGCTCTCAGAGGTACGCCCAAAGTATCTGGAAAGAGAAGTGGAGAAGCTTTGGGAGCTACGCCTGCATACTGCTACCGAGGAAAGCAAGGATGAGAGTGCGACGCCAAAGCAGAAGGAAGTAATGTTGAAGAGCCCTGTATCAGGCTCTGTGTCTTCATATGCGCGCTGGGTGGCGGTTGGAGCTGGGTTCGCCACAGTCCTCACAGCTTGGGTGATATTCGGCTTTGGGGTTGAGTGGGGTGTGCATGGAAACATTGTCGCCGGAACTACGGGGGAATGAAGGGTTCCATTCATTTAACGAGTGGCGTGCCCTACCACTGAGCTAAACGGATGCATTTAAAATCGAACTAGTGACGATTACATCAGCCGTCTTGACTTGTAACTTCCTGATTTTATTTTGAAACCCGCGGTACTTCATCAGTTTCTGAGCCTGGCATTTATCGTGTTGTAATGGACTGCTGAACGACGGACTCGGATGTGTACTAGTTGTTAAAACACAAAAATCGAATCCTTACGCGGATCCCGTGTTGCGAAACAATTCATTGCTCGCGAGGAACCTCACAATTTCGAAGTTCGCTACTTGTAGTCACCGTTCGTCATATTCTGCGCTACGAACAAGCGTGACTGTCGACTCCTCGGGATGTCGATTGCATGGGATACAACGTTGGTTGCGCTACCAAGCTGTACTGATATGATTATGCTGTTGAACGTTGAGCAGCTTGGTTTGACGCAGTGTGTCCGCACACCAAAAGCCGACTTCGTCTCGAAACCGCCACCATCCTAGCATTCCTCTTGCCCTAGCTAACAGACTCTTTGTAAGCATGACGCTTACCACGGTGACGCAGCCTATGATGCGGACTGTGACGCTGCTTAGATGACTCTCGTTGATTGGACACCGCGTATGATTCTATTTCAGTGAAGTACATGATAGGAAATGTTCCTTAGCTGTTTGTTCGTAAGATGTTGCTGATCTGATGTACGTCCTTATTGAAGGTAGAGGATGACTCTAACTTGAAGCACCAGTGAGTTTGAGAGAATTCAGTGCTGATTAAATGTTGCTAGCATATAGCTAACGCAAGCCACTGCAGTGCCAATTCATCGTCGCGTTCGACAGCAGCTGACATTGAGAACCCATGGGAATGCTTGGCAGAAGGGCCTCTCGCCTTTCATAGTTGTTGAGAGCTAGTAGCTAATCATGGACTGAAGCTTAACGTAATGAGATCATGTGGATGTTTAGGCGCTTTAGGTGCACAGCCTATGCTGTGTATAAGCTGTGAAGCGAACACCGGAATACAGCATGTACAAAAACGTACCAGGAAGCAGTGGATTCAATTCTGACTTGACCACCAAAACGACTGTTCCCTGCTGCCTGCCCATCGCCGATTAGAGGCTTCTTTGTAAGTGGTGATTTAGAAATTGATCGATGAAAGCTGAGATGGTGCTGCACTTCGTAGTTGAAATTATGGCTTCATCCACCACTAAAACGAAAGAGACATCAGCAATAAAACCCCACCAGGAATTCAAAGGACACACCAACCCGGTGCGAGGCGTCGTACACCTGCCAGGTGGACAGCGAATCATCACTTGTTCAAGTGACGGCTCGCTGCGTGTATGGAACTTGAAGAGCGGGAAACAGATAGGAGAAGACTGGAGAGATGGAGAAAGTGAAGTGTACTGTATAGCGTTGTCTCCGGACGGGAAGAAAGTGGTTAGCGGGAGTGAGGACGGCACAGTGAAGTTGTGGGACATCGACACACGCAAAGTCATCGCTAGATGGATGGGGCACACACAGTCAGTGGCGTCTGTCTGCTGGAGTCGAGGTGGTCAAAGAGTGTTAAGCGGATATGACGATGGGACCGCAAGGCAATGGGACGTCGAAAGCGGAGAGACAATCCTCGAGCCAATCAAGACCGGGCACACCTACGTGTGGAGAGTGGTCTATTCACCAGACATGTCCATGATTGCGACTGGTGGATATGATGGGCCCCGGACTGAAAGACTTGAACGTATCGAGTGCTCGATCAAAATCTGGGATGCAAAGACAGGCGAGCTTGTCGCAACTCTCAAAGGACATACACATCTAGTGGGTTGCCTGGCTTGGACCAAGAACGGAAAAACTCTTATCTCCGGGTCAGACGATCGCTCGATTAGGAAATGGAATATCAAAACATGGAAGCAAACCGAACTACTGGAGGCGCACACCAACTGGGTCTGGGCCATTGCAATATCACCAAATGAACGCATCCTCGCAAGCGCATCTTGGAATACAGTGCTATTGTGGGACCTCGACAATGGACAACTCATCGGTCCGCCTCTCCGGCACGCAGTCTTCATTAACTCTACGGTATCGTTTTCGCAAGATGGAAAGTTGATATCCACTGGCTGTGGTGAAAACGCGTATACATGGGATGTTGCTGCGATTGTTAAAGAAGCTAGCCTCGACGACCTACTTTCGGATTCAAAGGTGAGTCGATATAAATGCCCATTGTATATTCTCACAGCTGAATGCGCTCTGCCTGGTCAACAAGTTGGCACTCCATGTACGTGACCGCGGCTTCATTAAAAGATCTTGTTGTTCTCACTATATAAGCTCTACTAGGCTAGTGCTACACGACCTCCAGTGCAACAACGTCCGCCTAATCATCGGATACCTCAAGGTTTCTTTGATGGTGTCCCACCAGATCGTTCCCATGTATGTCATCACTATCAATTCGGTTTTGTTTTCCTGACCTTCATGTTCTCAGTCCTCCGCACGAAACCATCCCCACTCCTCAGTACTGCCAGGCAGCACGTTTCTTGGTCGTTTATTCCGCCGCAACCGCAGCCCCTCTGGTGCTCATGCTACATCACCATCCTCCCCTCTCGAATGGGCTCGAAACCTTGTGAAACAGCGTGGGCGAAGCGATGAAGCTACCGAGTTGCAAGGGCGCAGCCCTGCTGTTGAAGTTCCGTATGCGAAGGGCAAACGTGTATGTTCTTTCTCTCTCGGATGTTCACTGGCAACTTCATCTAATATTACATAGAGAAATGCTTCAGCAGGGGAGGTTGCATTTGCAAAAAAGAAACAGAAACAGAAAACGAAAACGAAACCATCACACTCGAAGATCTCTACTGCAGGAAGCCCACAGCCTCCCAGTCCCAACATCGCTGGACCATCTTCGCAACCACAGACAGCTGACTCTTCGTTGTCCACCACGCCTGCTGCCGGTGATGCTACCGCAGCTACAGTTTCAGCAACGGCGTCACGCCCTTACGCAACGATAAGAGACGTTGGACTCTGGACTCGCTTCTGGCTCTTCATTGGTTGTATTTCTCCTGAATATACGGACGGTAATCATTAGACCTTCTCATCCTTCACGGGTCGTATTGATATGTCATCTCTCTATGGACTCTCATTGATGTGCTTTACCCACTTCCTCTGATGCATTTCGAACCGTCCTCTATGTACGATACCAATACCAAATACCTGCCATCTTCGTTTGCAATGTATACTATCCATACATTTTTCGGTAGCTGAAAACCTGCCGTTGCAACTTGTGACGAACGTATATAAAATTCTAGCTCCAAGATAGTGTCAACTATGCACTGAAATCCATATCCCCGTCAAGTCAGATCAGGCTTGATCAACGCCGCTACCAGAGCAAGAATTACAGTCGTTTGAGTAGTTTCAGAGTTCAGTGCAAGCCGTATGGATAGAAAGATAAAATACATGTTTACATAACTTAGTATAGTACCCAAGAGCACAGCGGACATTGTTTAAATACTGGCGGAAATTGGGGAACGATAGCATCCATCATACACCTAAGTGCGAGCGTGCGCAGTATCCGGTTCTTTGACACCCACGCCTACAGCAAGTAAAAGTCAGTGACGCCCATGCAAACCCAAATCTTATCACCCACCCATCTCTGCATCTCGATCCATCCTATATTTGCTGAACGGTGTTTCTTTAGTTTTATCGAGTGATGACAGCATGTCATCTGCTCTGTCCCGGAATGATAATATGGAACGCGTAGACTTGGCACGTTCTCGGAAGATAAGGCCGATTAGCATGTTGAGACAGCCGATGGAAAAGAGGAAGAAACCGGAGACGAGGGGGAAGACTTTGACGAAGTGAGAAAGAACAGAAGCTCCTATCCTATTGATGTACGGATGAGTTGACAAGAAAACGATTGGAGGGGTATATCAACTTACAAACATTGCATCACTCCAAGAGCACCTAGTCCAAAGTCACTCCCGAGAACGGGAAAGTAGTAATCAAAGAACCCCGCGGGCCAGCCTTGAGAAAGGTTGAGATAACGCATACTAACATATTATCGCCAATATCATACCTAGTTCTGAAAGAATCAAAACGACGGTCTGTGCAATGATCAACAACCGGTTCAATACTGCCCAAAACACGCCAGCTGGCTGATTAGGAACTGTACTGTTTCTAGGCAGAATATTGAGCACATTCGCGATGACGTGCACTAAAAAAACTCACTGTATGTAGTCAGAGTTAATTGTGGAGCTCGAGTTGCTCCCGCCATCGACAAATGCGTTGACTGCTTCGATGTCATCGACCATCACCAGGATGCTGCTAGAAAAAACCAAAAGAAGAGCAATAATGCTAACAGTGCGGACAGCATTGAGACCGATGAAGACATCTAACAACCATCATCCTGTCAGCTCGCAAGTACATTCCTGGATGGCAGCGACTCACAAGCTTTGGCTGGTAGCATCGCGGGCGACGTAAATGCAACAGAAGATCAAAGTGACGCTATACCAGAGAGGAAATTTAAATGCTACAAAGACAGAGGATGACCAGCAACAGAGAAAGTGAAAAAAGGGAACGACAATGCCGCCACTGGTGGCAGCTGAAGTGGACTGAAGGAAAGGGGATTTCTGAATTGATAGACTTCCACTGGCCACCGGTCTGCTTTTCATAAAATCCGGGCACAGGGAAGCACCCGATCTGGGGAATAAAGCACCATTGTCTTCGCAAGGGTCGCCGTCGCTGTGGACACAGTGTGGGCGACTTTTCACAAGTAAACGGTACGACGAAAGTATAATATTGGCCAAATAAGGTAAGTACTTTCGAAGCGCCGCGATTGTACCGCGATAGTGTGATTTCATTCAAGTGATAGTCATCCTAGCACTCCAATCATTTGACTATACTACAGCACTGTGATTCGAAAAGAACAAGGTTGCGAAACAGCCATGTATTCAATATAATGACCAAACACTATCGTCAGCCCAACAAAAGGATTGAACGCCTACACCAGATTGATCTTGATACACGTGTAAACAGGAATGCACATTCGTCGAGTTTGTACTTTCTCAATCCAGTCGACCTAGTTTCCGCAGCCTCTTGTACGTTAGTTATTGTCCACTCCACTAGAGAGTCTGTAATAATTTAGTTCTTGGACACGTGTAAATACATCATCCCATCCCGAGATACATCAACAGATGCGTACAAAGGGCTTGCAAGGTATACGGTGTACAATGTACAAAGGCTACGAGGCAGCGGAGGGCAGTGGCGGAACTTGAGGAATTTCCGCCTGCCGCGGTCGTTGAGATCTTCGTGGCTGTCTATCAACTTGCGCACGTTCGCGCTCGGCTTGCACAGTTGTCATCATTTCAAGCTGCTGGGCAATGAACTCTTGTGTGTTTGGTCTGTGTACCTCGGTTAGAATTGATGCCCACAAGAGCCGTGTAATGCATACCTCATGCGAAGAATTCTCATAATAGTTTCACCGTTCGAGACTTCCTTCTCCTCTTTCTTCACCTTCTTGCGCTCCTTAATGGTCCCCAGATTCCGCTGGTTGTATACACTCTTCACCCGCTTCTTGATAGGAACAGCTTCGCGCAAGCTTTGCTGCATGGTGCGTACACACTCTTCCATGAGAGTATCCCTGCAAAGCAAAATGAAGCGTCGTTACCAGTACGTGAAACGAGATTGCGTACGTATGCCAGTCATAGTACAAACGAATAGAGACAACATCCCGATATTTCTGGTTCTGTAGCTTTTCCAGCGAAACGCCTTCGCCTTCCGCATAGAAATAGTCGCGGAGGAACTAGTTTGAAGCTATCAGGAATGTACGCGCACAAAAGTATCATACGCACCTTCAACCACTTGAAAACTATGTCTACCTCCTTGTCACTGAGTGGTTTCATGTCGCTAGAGAGCTTGGACAACGGCGGTATGAGTAGACCCTCTATTATAACTAGAATCTCCTTCCAGACTCTCATCATCACCATGTCTTTTGCAGTCTCGCTAAGATAGGTGTTGAGAATATGGAGGTTGGCGTCGAAATAATCGAACAGAGGAATGATTGCGCGTTCAATCTCCACGTCAGTGAGTTCCTCGGGCCGAACACGAGATTTCTCGTTGTGAGGAAGAGGTATCTGCACCTCACTGGCATTGGAGCCCAGTGCTGAGCGATAGAGCGCTGTGACATTCCCGAGTGCCTTGTTGTAATCCAGCCCCAGAGATCCGGCTTTGATCAAGGTTTTGAGGACAGGTCGGGACAGTGACTGTCGTATATATGGTGACATCTAGCAACAAATAAGATCTAGAATAAGAGCCTAAGCATCGTATTCGACGGCTTACTTTGTCAATGAATATCCGCATCATGTCTCCCTCACTCCGCTTTAGGAATCGAAAGGCCCGGCCAAAGTAGAACTGCACGTCATCCTTCTCCCCTTCCATACTGATTCGAAGAAGTATCCTCCCTTGGTGGCCATTGTTGGTGTTCTCAAGGTTCAGCCATACATCATGGGTCAAGAAATCACCAAATTCCTTGGGGTTGAGGCATATGAAGGACCGGCCAACAACGTCATGTTGACCCATGAGCGCGCGATCACGTATACTGCACATTAACCATAAAGGCTTGTCGATCGATATGTCATGAGTCTCTTCCCCTTTTCGGCATATAAACGAATCATGTCCAAGAGTTTTGACGGAGACTTACAACGTGGGTTCAAGCTCTCATAAATCGTCCTCGTCTTCACAAGGCGATTCCCAGCCTCGTCACTGAGCGTCACGAAGGTGTCTAGCAATGAGGACGGACTGCTATCAAGTGGTATCAAGTCCTCCGCCATAACAATCTTCACAGCAAACAGGAATCGCGGCCGCTCGTTTTTGTCGGGAACAGGCGGCCCGTGGTTAGCGATCGTGTCTGCGATCTTGTCCACCTGCATCTGGTTATACAAATTGTCAAGGAGCTTCCGCGCAGCTTCAACGTTGTTCAGCTTGACGCAAGACTCTGGGCGGAAGTTGAATGGTTCGATTTTCTTCTCGCCTGCTATTGCAAGCGACTTGGCTTTCTCGAGCCAAGCAGAGGACTTCTGCGGCTGCAGGTAGTCTGTTGGGCGTGGAAACATCTCTGTCATGAAAAGTTCTTCGACAGAGCGACAGTATTGCTCGATTGCCTTGGATATCGTCTGGGAATAACATCGTCAATAAACACTATGCGACAAACGCACTGAATCAGCACCTTGGACAGACTGGTGAAAAATCTCGCCTCCTGATACTCATCTGACCACTCGAGGTCCTGCAAGAAAGATATTGGACTACGGAGGGAGTCAAAGAGATCGACAACAGATGCACTATGTCGTTCTGTATTCTCTGCCTCAAACTAGAGTAGCATTAAGTAGAAAATGGGAGAATACAAGCATAGCACGAACCTTGTCCGCTGCGATTGCCTGGCAACTCCTGTTCAGCTTAATCCCAGCAACTGTGAATGAGACTTACAGCTTGCACCCACTGACCGGTCTTATTGTCTGTGTCAACGAGCCAGTGATGAATGTATGGCGTGAAAAACTGCCCAAGGTCAAATTCCAGTTGTCCCCTTGCAAACAATGAGGTTTTCGCCGTAACCCTACGAAAACACTCACTGAGGAACAAATGCTTTGTACATCGACAACAACGCTTGCGTTCGTCGGTAGAGCGAAAATATGTCTTGTATAGGCACATCTGGGGTTGGACCATTCATCGACGATTCATACAAACGCCTCGAGGAGTTCTGAAGTTCGCTGACAAACAGTGGAACCTGGGCTTCCACTACAAGAGAAACTAGATCTACCCTTCTAAACGCATAGCATCAGTATCCCAACGTCAAGCTTCGTGCAGGGTCATACCCAACAAGAGGATCAGGAAATCGCTTGTCCAGCTGTTTGGCTGCCTTCTCTAATTCGTCCGTCATCAGCAGCAATGGCAACGCCCGGTTGACTCCGGGGCTTGCTTGCAAAGATTGCATCTTCTCTTGATAAAACTGGACTGACACATCTTGAATGTGAGTCGTCAAGTCTGACAAACGGGTACTAATATCTGCCTCAAAACGCTCGATGAGTCCACTCTCCCGTATGAGGTCGAGAATAGTGAGATATGGCTGGGCCACGCTGACTTTTAGGTTCGGCAGGGTATCCATGGTGTGATATAGAGAAGAGAGGAAGATGTTGTAAAGTCCACCATAGACGGATGCCAATAGTTCTGACTATCAAGAAACTCAGTGACGGGTTAGATCATGCGTATTGTCCACGCACATCCTGGATGGGCCACTTGTCTATCTCGAGATCTTGCAATAACTTCGTGGTACCTTGCAGGGCCTCTGGTATGCACTCCATGGGAACGTCGCTACGCTCATATAGTTGCTTGATCTGATCCAAAAAACACGTCGCACGATACGTATGGTTTATGCGCCAACGCATCGCACATTCGTTTATAAGGTCCACGTGAGGAGGACTGAGGATACTCAAGGGAACTTCATCAGCATCGTCCACTTCGGGGCTGAACATAAACTCTAGATCCGTAACGAGACAGTATTCGACAAGACGCCTGTAGAACTTCTTGGGATTTGGCGGAATAAACGTGAAATTGTGGCCAACACGAATCTCGTCATCGTCGTCCCCCTCGTCGTCGCCGTTCTCCTCGCCTTCGTCTACGGCTCCGAAGAACGAATGTCGGCTTCCAATCGAAGTATGTCGCTTCGTTCTACTAGGAGAGTCGATATGAGTAGAGGGCAGCGAGCCTGGACGAGCCCCCGATGTAGCATATATGGAACCATTATCTGAAGGCATGGACTTGGCAAGTTCGGGATTAAGCGACACCATCGCTACCATGAGTTGGGAGAGAATTGAGGTTTCCTGAGTGCGCCAATGATTCCACGCGGTATCACTGCCGAAGTCTTCCTTTCTACCGGGAAATGGCGCGCCAGCGTTGATATTCTTCAAGCAAGTCTGCAATACGCGCACGGTCAATACATAACTCTTCTTTTACCCGTCGTCTCACCTTGAGGTCTACAACAGCAGCCTACTGATGTTCAGTGGCAAGTTCTGCTAGAAGGGCATCACTCACCTTCTCCGTACATGTTTTCCACATCCGATCCACCTCGCCCTGCATGGCGTTCTCAGGAATCTTGAACAGGCGTGCCACAATCATCACAAAGGGCATATCCGAAATACTTTGGCTGATGCTCGGCTGTGTACTGATGGAATCTCCCCGGTCGCGCGACGCCGATGCAGAGTCGTACCCCGAATCATTCGCAGACTGCGGTGGTGCAAGTTTGGCGTGATACATATCCAGGCGTGAATTGAGCTCGGGCGAAACATGGCTCAGAGTCTTCAAGCAATCCCGAAGCATCCTCACGAACTGTGCAATTTGATTGTTCACCTCAACCTTCCATCCATCATCAGCGAGTGTGGGCTCCTTCCTGAGCACACTGGTGGCTTGTGAGGCAAACATCAAGATCAACTCCTCTATGCTCCTGTTCTCCTTCATCTGCCTCCTGAAGGAGTCACCTATGAACTGCCCATAAAAAACGGCCATAGTTCGCCTTGTTAATTGGTCAGAATACCTGCAATCTTAGTGTCAGCATATAATCCCAGAGCACAACGCAGTTATGCCACGGACGCAGCATCTTTCCCCATTGCTATATTCTGCAGTTTCTGTTCCAATACTTTGAGGAGTTTCTCTGGAAACTTGACGCTCTTCGACCCATCCCTGAGGTCCTTGAATATATCACCTATGGATACAATGGAGTTGGATATAGCT